ATTTTTTTCACGTGCACATTTAAGGATTTTTTTCTTTTTGTTCAACTGAAGAGAGCTTGATTATCATGTGTTGTGGTGAAGTTCGTTTTTGGTCAATTCTATTGGGATTTCTGTAGCCCTCCTGTATATAATTTTGCAATTATTTGCTCAGATTAGGGAAGTTTTCCTTTATCATTTCACTGAATACATCTCTAATGTCAACTTCTCTTTCTGCACCTTCTGGAACTCCCATAACTCTTATGTTGGATTTTTTAATCATGTCTTTTAATTCTGGGATACTTTTTTTTAGCTTGACCTAGCTCTGCTTCCAGCTTTTTGCTTGCTTCTTTATGGTGACAGGAAATATCTTCTAATTCTGAAATTCTTTCTTCTGCCTCATTCATTCTGTTGATGAGACTCTCCACTGTATTTTTAATTTGCTCTACTGTGTTCTTAATTTCTGATACATCAACCTTAATTTGATGTATTACTGCTATTTCTTCTTTGAACTCTTATTTGTACTTCTCATTGTTGACCAGAAGCTTTGCAGCGAGTGTTCTGAGCTTTTTGTCCCTTTTTTCAATGTCTTCTTCAGTTAACTCTGAGAGTGGGCGAAGCTTTTGTTCCTTCGTTGGAGAGTCTTCAGTGACATTCATACTGCCTTTATCTTGTCTTTTACTTTTTGTAGTTGCCAATCTGGTTGACGAAATCATCTCTATGGTGTATTACCTACAGATCTATAAGTTGATTTTTATGTTCAATCAGTGCCCTGGATTTGGGAAACAGAGCTGTCCTGAATAATTGCTTTGCCCGGGGCACTGATTTTGTAGACAGCACAGAGCTTGTCGCCCCCTGCTGGCCGATAGGTCTGAGTACCTCCTGGGGTTATTTTGGGTGGAGTTGGTGGTGTGCCTTGTCGACAGCTGTTTTTTCTGCGGAGCCTGTACAGTGCTCTAAGATGGTGGTATTTTTGTCCTCAGGTCAGTTCTTGGGCGACTCAGCTGTCCTCCCTTCAGTGTAACAGTGTCTGGTTCTGTGACACTGTTATCCAAGAGCTGCTGAATTAGGGCATGCGCAGTTTACCACTCTTACTCTTGCAGTTTATCAGTATTCAAAGCACTTGCCACAGTATCCAAGATGGCTCCCGGAGGAGCATCAACAAAAATCAGGGGGCTGTCAGCTGTCAGCTCCAGGGACCACACAGACCCTACAGGCTGCAAGGCTGGTGCTGTGGGCTCAGCTCAGTGCAATTAGCTAGTAACACGCCCACTCTGGATCTTTGCTTGGGGTCCACACTTGCTGCTCTGGAACACGAGTTGGCGCCAGGTGGAGAATTGCAGTTGCTGGCTTTCAGCTCCAGGGATTACACGGACCCTGCAGGGAGTGAAGCTGGTACTCCACCCCCTCCCCCCCCTTGGATCAGGTCCAAGTAAACAGCCAGAAAGGAGCCTCTGTGCTGCTCTGTCAACTCCGTGTTCCACCTTTCCACACAAGATGGCTCCCTGAGTTCCCTACTCACCCTCGGCTGGTCCCAGTCACTCAGCTTGATTGTCCACTCCCAGCCTATACTCAATTTCCTAGCTCCCCATGTGGACCCAGGCTCTCACCTGGCAGTCCCAACATCTGTGTGGAGGCCACTCCTGGATGCCTGGCTGGCGCTGGAAGTAGATTGCTGGAGCCTGGATCGCCGGAGCCTGGATCGCTGGGGTCTGGGTTGCTTCCGGCTGACTGCTGGTGGGTTCTTCAGTCCAGTACAACACTGCTGTTTCATTCCTGCAGCTTCCCTGTGTCCAGGGGGGTTACAGGCACCCCCTGCTTATTGCCTGAATCCTATTTTTTCCCCGTAATCTACTTATTGTACTTCTCCTTGCCTAAAGATTCTCCGTCTTATCAAACATGTCTGTATCATATGCCGCCATCTTGCCTCCTTGGTATTTGTGTATTCTTATCTTTCCCAAAATTAGAATGCTTTTTAATCTATTATCACATTGAATAGGTTTTCCGTGCCTTTTTTTCTCTTCCCCATCAGATATACTCAACATTAGTACAATTTAGTTATCTTAAAATATTCTCACAGATTGTATTACTCCTTTTTGTCTGACTAGAATATTAATAAACTTTTCTTAAGTTCAGATACTTTTTCTTCTTGGAAAAGTCTGCTTTTGAAGTTCTCAACTGTATTCTTTATTAAACCTATTGAATCCCTCATTTCTAAGATTTTTCCTTGGTTCTTTTACAAGACCCTGCCTTTGCTGAATGTATCTTTTTTCATCCATAATGAGTTAACTTCCTACTATTTAATTTTCTAACTATACTATCATGTGTCTATTTTAGTATTCTTATAATCATTTCTTGGATGGTTTAATCTTTTTCTTTTATGGTATCTGTTACCAAAGAATAATTGTGTTTCTTTTTAGGCATTGTATTACTTTAGATTTTCATACTCGTTTGCTATTCAATTTATATTTATGCATCTGGTAGATCACTTTTCTATGACTTTTGAAGGGCTTCCATTGTGATTAAGTTCTTTTTGTGAAGGTGTGTCTTCAGGTGCTGGTTTGGTAGGTTACATAGGTTTATTTCTAGCAGACATTAAAGTGTGGTCTCCTTGTGTCTTTTTCCACTCTAAACAACTGCAGAGCTAACAGGAGTGTAGAGAGTTCCTCTCATTCTTGGCAAGGGTATGGCGGTTCCTGTGAAGATCAACAGGGCCATGTCAGTGTTGGGTCCAAGCCTAATGGTTGTCTAAGCAAAGAAATCACAGTGGAACTGGGCCCATGGCTGTGATGGTCAAGCTAGAGAAGAATGACAGTTATGGCCCCAAAACAAAGTGTTGTACAGCTGAATATGGCCAAGGACAAAAATCAAGTGATGGTAGGATGGGTCCCAAGCTGCAGAAGCAACTGACCATACTTTAAGGTTTACCTGCCCTCTGTAATGCGGAATGTTTCTAGGGCTAAGATGATGGGATATTTTGCTGCTGTGTAGTTGGTTTGTGTGGCTGTAGCATTTTATGCTAGCACTTCAGCATATTTATGGGTTCCCAGGATGAGGTTTTCAAGTCTTCAGTCCCATAGACCAAAGAGACTTCCAACAGTGATCCCTTTCTCATGGTGTCGCATTGCCTCGGACTGTGGTACCAGGGAAGGGGAGGCAGGGTTGGGCAAGTGAGTTCCCTCCCTGAAGTTATGACATATACGCATGGTAGTTTTTCTTGCTGCGTTACAACTCTGCAGTGCAGAATCCTCCTGGTGCCAAGATTACTGACATCTAACATCCTTGGAGATGAATTCTGCTAAGTTTTTCTTATTATTTTTTTTCCTTTGCTATGAAATTCTCCTTGACCATGAACCTGGATTCATGGCAGTTAGTGCATTTGCTCTTCTCTTTATGCTAAAATCTCCTGTCTGTGTTGCATGGGGCTCTTATGTTTTTATTGCTGGGTTACAGTGCTCTGTTCCTGTGCTCATGAGGAAATGCAGTAATTTGATTGCTAGTGTTAGTTTTTTTTTGCTGGGGGAGGCAATATCTGGGCATCTGTGTTCAACCATCTAATAAAATTTATGTTTTAGACAAACTTTAGTTTTATATTTTCTTGTCATAAAAATTATATTATTTTATATAACAAAATAAAATATGCATATTTTATTTTATAAAAATTATTTGCTCTTTGTTATATTTATAGACTAATGTGTTGATAATATTGAGTCTGTTAAAGTATGGTTTGACCCTTAATAGTTCAATTCCATTGGTGTTGTTAGTATCTTTTCCAAATAGATGATAACAATTACATTTATTCCTAAATATGCTGGTTATTTTATAATTTAAAATTTTGTATTGTACTTTCATGACCTATACTTTCATATTATTTTTGGTATGTGATTTAATTTCCAACCACTATATATTAAATTTCCTTATCATTTTAGGTTACTTTCCGAGTTTTTCCTGCTTTTTCACTGTCAGTTTTATACCTCTAATTTTTTATCACCAACTTCATTTTATAGTGTTGTCAATGACACTTTAAATTTTGTCCTATTGACTTCTTAATTCTGATTTTAGAGGAAACACTTTTGAAGCTTCTACCTACAGAAAGATTGTGGCAATTTATTTTAGAAAAATACATGTTGTAGTCCATTTTCAGATACATATATTTTTAGTTAGAATGTACCTTTTCAATATTCAAAGTTTTGCATGAGTGGGTTTTTCAGCACTTTGTTTTTTATGCTAGTACATTTGGATACATATATATTTTATGATGAAATGGCTATTAGGCAAAGAATTCAGTAATAATAAAAAGATGATTTATTCTGACAATGCTGAAATAAGCACTAGTTTTGACTTGTTTTGAAACGTGAGGAGTTCATTATGCTGACAATTGAGGATTTACAGATATGTGTTTTGTGAAAGACAGAGAAAATGTAACCTTAATCCCGGGAGATCAAATTAGCGGCTACATTTGTAAGATCCTTTTTGCTAATAAAACATGGAGAATAGATACTGGGAAATAACGGAGTATATTCCAACAGCCTGACCCATTCCATTGGGTTTGTTACCATTTAGGCTACTTTCTTACAGCAGGAACTGACAACTGTATATCATGACAAATATTAGCATTTCTATATTCAAATTTTTAGTACTTTCCACAAAATATAAAATAGTATTTTCATGAGAAAACATTCTTATAAAAATAATGATCTAGTTGTTTTTAAATCACAACATTGACAGGGGATTTTGATGTATGTTATTTTTTATGTGTGTTTGTGTGAGTGTGAGAGAGAAAGCACAAATACTTTTATTCAATGCATTATAGAAAAGCCAATTTTATGTTTTAGAAATTACATAGTGTTCTGACAGACTGCAAAATTCAGTTATATGAAATACTAGCTAATATATGCATTCCTTTTCATGCTCTCCCCATCCACAAAACAGAATGCAAAATGTTGATAAGCTGTGACGTAAGAAAACATCGTGACTTCCTCCTCCAGTTCCCAATAAAAGCTGTGCTGCAGTTCAGTTCTTAATTTTGGCATGATGGCTCTCCTTTCTTTCTGGAGCTTTATACTAGTAGGTTGCTTTGCAGTTTCTTTAGCTGGAGCTTCCAGTCTTTCAGAGCTGTATCCTGCACTATGGGAAGAGAGTCCTGGGCAATTCAGTGACTTCAAAGTGGAGAACAACGTGTACATTATTAACCCATGGGCATACCTTGACAGAATGGGGATGTATAAAATCCTACTGAACAATACAGCCAGGTACTTTGAGAAATTTGGACCAGAGAATGAACAAAACATTTTATGGGGATTACCCCTACAGTATTCGTGGCAACATAAAACAGGTAAGAGTGTCTTTTACTCTCATTTTAATGGTCTACTAAATATGAGGATGAAGTGGGGCCTGCTTTGTACCTAATCTTTTAGAATATCTGTCCGAATCTTTTAGAATATCTTGATTTATCATCTTTACTTTTTCTCCATAAATCCTTCACACATAGGTTGTCTATTTCTACTACGAATTTTAATTGAGGCATGACATGATTACCAGTCACAAGAAGGTGAAACATTTAATTTATTAAGTTACTTACAAATGTTTACTGAACTCCCATTAAGTGTAGGAATACATTTCTGCTTAAGGCCCAGGATTATCAGAAAAGTCATGGAAGCCACTAAACAGCAGGGAATGTCAAATAAAAATTAAAACACATTAAATGTTAAATTAAAATTAAAATACATGCACATAGCAGGAAATTCCAAAGTGGTGTGTATATCTTGAGGCTCTGTGACTGCTTGATGATGCTTATAGCTTATAAATGAGCAGCCCCTTATTTATCAGTTTAAGATTTCTTCATATGGAAATAAGATCTATTACACTGTCAAATTTTTTTGAGACAAATGATCATGAAACAAGATACATTTTTATGCTATCTGACAGAAACTATTGTAGCTAAATGGCTGTTTGAATCCATGGTGAAAACATAATCAATGAAGAAATGTGAAGATAGAGATAATGTTAATTCATTTGTTGTTGAAAGTAAAATTTAATTACAATATTCAGGTATTATATGTCAAACACTATTGATGTTTTTTCTCACTTCTTACAACGATCCTAGTATGCAGTAAGTATTATTCTCATGTTGAAGTTGTGGAAACAAAGCCATTAAAGATTTTTTAGACAAGGTTTAACCAGACCTGATGGAAAAGGAATTTGGTTTGATTCCTTGTCATCTCTCTTAAACTGTATGCCTGTGGCTTCAATAGATTTTAGGGATGTTGAGAAGGAAATAGAAGAGTAAATGTTTACAAAAAGCAAATAATATTCAGGAATAGCTGAAAACTAGAAAATGGTGATATTGTTAAGGAAAAAGAAAGAATTAGGCTGAGAGATGGGGAAGAAAGCAATGAGTGTACAACAACCAGATATTCACAAATAATATTTGTAGAAATTATTTAAACAGTTCCAAAATGTACTCAAGAACTCACTGCATTTTGCCTTTTCCAGGCAGGCTAGCTGATCCCAGCAAAAGGACATCCTGTGGCTACGAATCTGGAGATCCTTTGTGCATTTCCGTGGACAGCTGGTGGGCTGGTAGGTTCACTTACACAGCACAGTGGGCGTTAGCCTTCCTCAGAGAAAGCCATCAGCCTAAAAGCTTGGGGATAGAGACAGAATTGAAACAGTCATGTTCAATTTTTAAAAGAAATTGAGTTCACCATGGCCCTTGTGTCCTTTATGTGACCTTACAGGATTTAAGAGCCACAGTATTAGTCATGATTCCCGGGGGTGTATTCAGCTTTTCGGGAAGGATGAAAGCAGTGTACTGCCAACGGGTAGGTCCTCAGAAGGAGTCCTGGCGGTTAGGTGGATGTTCCCAGTAGGACAGAGAGGCTCTGGAATGAGTGAGAATGGGATGTGAGAGATTTGAAAATTAGGATCCGTCAATTTGTTCCTATTTGGTGAGTTTAACATTTAGAGTCATGAACATATCTGAGACTGGTACACATGCCATTTAGCAATGAGTAATATCAAACTTTAGTTATATACTTAAAGTTAAAATAACCTGAGACTATTTTCTAATTCTGTAATGTAGATTTTAGTTAATAAAACTAACCTGCATAATGATTCCTTAGATTTATGTAACAATATCTTACGAATTATCATTTGCAAAGAAGACCATGTTCTCTCTCACTTCCTCAGAGTTACATGATTCCTATGCACCAACGTTTTTCTCTTTTTGTTCTGAGTCATTCTTCACAAAGGAGAGTTGCCTCCGATCTAGAAATTAGAGTATTATTTTCAGATTGGCTAAGTGATTGTGGTTAGCTTCTTGCCCTGGAACATACAATTGCATCCCTAATACATGACCATGATGAAGTGTTTCACTGATTTTCTAAAAAGACCTATTTACATTTATTGGAAATGTGGATTTAAAGAGGGAAGCAGAAACAGCGAGTTCTCCCATCTGTTGGTTTACTCTCCAAATGACTGCAACATCCAAAGCTGAGCCAATCCAATACCAGAAACCAGTAGCTTCTTTTGAGTCTCCCACACCTGTGCAGGGTCCCAAGGCTTTGGGCCACCCTCTGCTACTTTCCCAAGCCATAAGCATAGAGCTGTATGGGGAGTGGAGCAGCTTGGACATGAACTGGTGCCCATATGGAATGCCAGTGCATGCAGGCAGGTTTAGCCTGAAACACCATCACACTAACCTTTTCACTGAGTTCGAATGTAAATCAGTAGAAGACTAATATTTAACAAAATCAAAATTTCTGAATCTACTGAAATAAGTTATTCAGTTCGACAGTTAAAAACTTGTTGTTTGAGTGTTAATGAAATTGACCATGTATATTGGTGGAGCTTTTCCAAAATTGTTGCTTTAGAGACATAGGCGCCTATCACAAGGACATAGTGACATCAGGTTCACAATTACAGTGATAAATGTGACTGGAAAATTTCACTTGCCAAAAACTGTAAACATGTTAGAACATTTTAGGGAAAAAGTACTGGAATTCACAGTAAAATGGTAGATATTTTGTGCCATTATGGGTAGGCAAATAGCTTTATTACATTTTTACTTAACAAATCGATAAAAGCATACAATCGGATTCAGATGAAATTGATTTTTAAAATTAGTTTGAAAGTCACGGTAACAGAGAGAGGAAGTGACTGCAAAAAAGGAATTGTCCATCCTCTGGTTCTTTGCCCAGATGACTGGAACAGACAACAGTGAATCTAGAATGAAACCAGGATCCAGGAGCTTATTTCAGAATTGCTAAGAAGGTGGCAAGGACCCAAGCAATCGGTTGGTCTGATGTTGCTTTTCCCAGGCCACAGCAGGGAGTTGATTTGAAAATGGAGCAACTACGGCAGGACCCGCAGCCCATATGGAATGCCAGCATTATAGGAAGAGGTTTACCTGCTACATCACGATGCTGACTTCCAGTAAAACTGTTCTTTGCTTTATATTTTAATGTAGTACTTAGACCAGCATACATTTGTAATTGTCAGACAACAGAAGCATGGTAAAATTAGGCGAGTATTGGGGAAATTTCATTGATCTATTTCTTCTAATGTTTAAAGTTTGATGGCATCCATCTGTATCTCTAAATTTCCCCTTGATGACGTATGACTTCTTTTAAAATACTATCTTTGATATTTGTTTGTAGTCATAGTAATTCTTTTGTTCTTACAGATGTGAATTATTTTCTGGGTGCATTACCCTTCCTTGCTGCGGTTGATTCTGGCATATTGGGAGTATCTCCAGACCAAGTTAAACTTTTGCCACCTCCCAAGGATCAGATGAAGTTTTGTTATGATGTTTCCAGCTGTCTTCTATCTTTTCCTGAGAAAATGACCAAGTGGAATCTGTTTTACCAGGTCTTACCTTTAAGTCTTGTTGTTTATGTACTTAGAAGATGGCAAGAGGATTTCTTTTGCTGTGTGGCATTTCTTGTTTTGGTGCTTTTATATTTCAATATTAAAATATCAAATTATTCATATATACCTATATGTCAGCACAGTATTTTATGCACTACCCTACTGTATTATTAACACAAAATCTACCCATTCTTCACACATCAAATAAAATTACATGCACATGCTGAGCATATAGGATGTTTTACCTAAAGAGTGAACCAGCTATTCTAGTTGTTTGTGATTTCAGAGTAACCGAGGGAAAAAATGTAATAAACTGAAGTATTATATGACATGTTCAAAGCTGAAGTTAAAATATATTGTACGTAGGGTCTGGCGCGGTGGCGCAAGTGGTTAAGGTCCTCGCCTTGCATGCCCGGGATCCCATACGGGCTCCGGTTCTAATCCTGGCAGCCCCACTTCGCTTCCAGCTCCCTGCCTGTGGTCTGGGAAAGCAGTCCAGGACTGCCCAAAGCTTTGGGACCCTGCACCCGCGCGGGAGACCTGAAAGAGGCTCCTGGCTTCGGATCGGCATAGTATCGGCCCGTTGCGCTCACTTGGGGAGTGAATCATTGGACAGAAGATCTTCCTCTCTGTCTCTCCTCTCTGTATATCTGCCTTTCCAATAAATAAATAATCAATAATAAAAAAAGAAAAAAATATATTGTACGTAGGCTAAAAGCAATGATTAGATGATAGAATTACCAGTTCTTCACATTCTTGATGAGTTACTTTTTATATGGTCTAACATTCTATCAATTTTTCTTCTTTTACTTAAGAGATTATGGTTAAGAAGTTAACAATATTAGCACAAAACATGAGATGAACACTTTGAATATAGTTAAATTTCCTTTCTTTCAGATGCGTCCATTATTAGTGGAAGTAATAATTGCTTTTTGTTGTTATTCATTAAGAATTTCTGCACTAAGGTGTCATACTAATTTGTTGTTAAAGATGGAAATTTTAGGTATAAATATTTTAATATTTCAGGAAAAGGATTTGTTGTAGTTGTTCAAATGTTAAGGCTTTTTTCTTTTTATACTTTAGTATATGCAATCACCTTCTAGTAACTTTGATGGCTTGTTGAAACACTTATGGGATGCGCATTCCGCAAGTTTGGAAAATACAGGTGATCGTTTTAAAGACAGGTAAGAATGAATGCAAAGTTATCTTTAATGAACCTACTAAGTTACTTTTCGTATTATTTGTATATTTTGTTCTTTTCAGTGCTTTTTAAGCATAACATTTTATGAAATTTCTAAACCTTGGAGGTTATGATAAGACATATAAATTTTAATCTGATTAGGCTTGAGTATGTTTTATGAAGACAAATCTTTAAAAGATAAAAACCCAGGATTTGCATGAAAGAAGCATGCAGCCAACAGCATAGAATGCATTTCTTATTGGTGAAAAGCCATTTAGGATAAAATACATTATGATCAATTTGATTACTAATACATAGTTTATTGGCACATACTTGAGAAATATTCACCAGCATAAAGGATTGCACACAAGATAGGACAGAAGATAACACTGGCTTGAAACACTGGTTCAGCTACAATTAAACTTGTAAGGCTGTTGAGTTGAATTAGTGATATTATTTAGAGCGGCAAATCAATCAATAGATGATGTATGAAGTAGAAATCTGGGTAGGGCTTATATCAGAAAGAGGTAGCTTGTAGGGCTGTGTAACTAGAAAATGAATTCTGGAAGCTATCTTCCATTTAGTGTTGTCTTTCCACTGACTGCATCAACAAGCAATATAAAAGATTTGGTCAACACATTCTTCCTTAGGTTGTGACTTTCATAGTTAGGTATGCAGTTGGACAGTGGTGGAGTTAATACTTTGCTTTAGTCTGTGATATAAATTGGGATTATAGCTGCCATCACAATAGTTGGAACTCAGTTTCCCCCTGTTTTGTGATTAAAGGAAGCAGCAATCAAATTAACAGACGAGACTCGTGAGTGGAGATGGCCAACGACATCATGTTGATTATTTCATTGGATTTTTTTCACCTACATGTATTTCAAGTGAATTAAAAAATAATTTTCTACGCAGAAAATAGAGTTTAATTAAATCTCATTTGTGGTTTTTGCTTTTACTTCCTGAAATTTTGGAGTCTTCTCCAATAACTTACACATACAATAATATATGAATGTATCGAAACATCACACAATGTGCCCTATATATTTTTTGTGGATTGTTTATTTGAAAGGCAAAATGATTGAAATGTAGAATCATAGAGTGATCTTCCATCTGCAAGTTCATTCTACAAATGTCTACCAAAACAAAGCTAGATAAGGCAGTAGTTGTCCCATCTTATGGCTTAACTTGCTGTGCTACAATACCCACATACATTTTATATGTGAGTTCAAAAAGTTAAATCATTAGAAAAACACAGCTTTATAAATTTTTATTTGAATGGTGGACAGAAAAAGAGGTTTGTATTGTTAGTAGGAATGTTGCATTAGAGGTGAAATAAAAACTAGAACTATTATGAGACTCAGATGTTCCAAGTAGTATCTTAATACAGTTCATCAAATGTGTGTTCCAAACCACATCCTTCAAAATAACATTTTAAGTGTTCATACAAGTTAAAATAAGGGATAAAGGGGAAGAGGAAGAAATGAAAAGAGAACGGGACAGAGGGAAAAAGGAAGAGAGGAAGAGAAGGGTTAGGGGGATAGTGAGAGTGAGAGAGAGAGAAGAGTGCATTCTCTCTTGGTTTGTGTCCAAAGTGCCTTTAACTGCTAGGACTGAGCACTGAAAGGGGAGCCCAGAACGCAGTGTTGATGGCCAGTGTCCATTTCAGGAATCCAAGCACTTGAGTCATCATCTGCTGCTTCCCACAGTGTTCAAGAGAAGGAATTGGATGTTCAATTTTGACTTTTAGCCCAAGCACTTTGAAATGGGATGCAGGCATCCAAGTGTATTGGCAAGTTAACTGCTGTCCACATTTCTCTCCCCTCAAACCACAACTTAAATATGAATAACAAGGGCATTTTAAATACTTCAAATTATTGATCATTATTTTCTCTTTTTTTAAAAAAAAATTTAGGTATGTTTCTTTTCTGTTAGACATTTGGACGGTAAAGCTCAACATACTTATTCCTATTTGTGCAATGGAATTATTTTTTAAAAGCCATCTTTCAACAGAGCATCTTTAATTACTTCAAAATCATGCAACATAAAATTTATGGGGGCAAATAAATGTTAACTTTTATATGACAATTTTGATCACAAATATGTAGACTAAAAAGGCATTTATTTTTCCAATCATTAATGGAATATTCATATTTGCTAATTATAATAAGATATTTTAATTAGCCTTTTTATTCCTGAGCTATATTTCTGACTTTACCTTTAGCTGTCAATAAATGTTCCACCAAAGTATTTTTACAAAACAACATTTATTAAGTAAAAGAATAAGAAGTCGAATCACAAATTACTTAATGAAGGCAATACATTGTCATAAATGTATCATCAAGCAGTTTTGTCACTGAGTTAACATCACATATTAAACTTACATAAACATGGATGTTTATGTAATAAATGAGATTGATAAACCTACTATCTATCTGGGTTAGATGGCATACATGTAACATATTGCTAAAACTTGTAGGGCATGTTACTATACTGAATGCTATAGGCAGTTGTAACACAGTGGTAAATATTTGTGCATTTAAATATATTTAAAAATAGAAAAGCCATGGTAAGCATATGAGATGAAAGAATTAGGGTGCCAATATCATGGTGCAGTAGGCTGAGTAGGTGACATGGGTATCCCATATGAATGCCTGTGGAGTCTCTGCTGCTCCACTTTTGATCTAGTTTCCTATTGATGCTTTGGGAAGGCAGTGGAAGATGACCAAAGTACTTGGCTCCTTACTGCCTTCATGGAAGACACTGAAGAATGTCATGGCTCTTGACTTCATTCTGGCCCAACCTTGACTGTTGTGGCCATTTGTGGAGTGAATCAGCAAATGGAAAATCTTTTTCTCTCATTCCCTGTCTGACTATACCTTTCAAATAAATAAACACTTCTTTTAAAAGTGATGAAACTGGACCACCATAAAAGGCACTTGCCATGAATGGACTTTTCAAGGCTTGAAGTGGTTTTGAGTCTGTGCGTGAGTGGTAAGTTAACACAAAGCTCTACAGCATAATCAGGGGCTGCTGGAGATTTTATAAACACGGGTATTATATTTTTAGGCTCCAGAAAACTTATTAAACCATTTAAAATTTTTTCTAGATAAATTAACCTTAGTTTACCGTAACTTTTATACTTTACAAAATTTTAAAAAATTTCACTCTTTTGCAAATAGTATCAGTCACACAATCACATTGTAGAGCTGTGTCAAAATATTTTCTTTTTTTGTATTTACTTTTGTAAGCCTTTTCTATTTTTAAAGATATATTTATTTGAAAGGCAGAGCTACGGAGACAGGGAAAAATCAAGAAAATGTTCCATCCATTGCTTCACTCCTCAAATGGCCACAAAGTCTGTTGCTATATCAGCCTGAAACAAAAAGCCCAGAGCTTCCTCTGGGTCTCCAACATGAGTGCAGAGGCCCAGGGCCCCGGGCTGAAGCATTGAGCAGTTTCGCCAGCTCTCCTAGGCACACCAGTAGGTGTCCTGGTTGGAAGTAGAGCAGTTGATCTCATTTATTTTCACTATCAAACATTGTGTATAATATATGATAGCATATACTGTCCTTTGACATGATGGGTAGCAGAGTAGATTTACTTACGCCATCTTCACCGTGTAGCCACACGTATGGGGATTTTGCAGTTCATGACAACCTAATGTGACCATATCTTACATGGCGTTTGTGCTTGATCAAACATCAGCTTTATTCCCTGTGATTTCTTAGTCCATTCTGCTGCCCTGTGGGATGTGCGGGCATGACAAATGGAATCAAAGGTCATTATTGCCTAAAGATTTTATTGTGTGCTTAAAATGTTTAATAAAAACAGAGTTTTGTACCTTTGCAATGTATAATGTCTGAGAAACAAAGCAGAAATAAAACACAAGATTAACTTCCTTTCTGAAGACTCAGCTAATGTAAAAATCCGCATGCTTAGAATCTTCTTGCAGGTGCTATGGTTTCCTCCTCAGGAACACTACAGAGACCTTTCTTTAAATCTCTTCTTTTTAAATTATGATTGCAGATGTGACTTTTTATTTTAAAATCCTAGTTACTTTTGCTTGTATGTTGAAATGTTTTTACATGTTAATGTAAAATGTAGAGATTTTGAACAGCCTCACAATCCTGAAAAATAAAATAAAATAAAACATGAATGTCTGGAGAAATGGTATTTTGCCCCTAATTAGTCTTTTTTTTTTTTTTTTTGCTGCAAGTGGGCTTTTAAAAATCTATTACTGAAACAATTTATTTAATTTTCAAGATTAGGTATCCTCCTTTAAGTCATCACTGTGGGAAATTGTGGGTTTGCTCACCTCCTCCCCACTCCACAAAGACCCCTTCCCAACCACAGGTCTCTAGGAAGAGGTGGCCGGGGAAGCTGAATGTTGATTTTCAAGAGCTTCTATTACATTGACCGCAATCATTACTCACCTGGGTGCAGGCCAAGCTGATTACCTTTCCTCGCCACCCCATTTTATTCCTTGTGAAATGGATCATTACCTTGTTTTCCTCCTTAGTACTACTTACATGCAACTCTACTGTACCACCAATCGGCAATCCACAAATACTTCCTATATTGCTCAAAGTGCAAGAATTCTAGGAAGTTTTAAGATGGCCGACGTAGGAGGAAGGCTGTGAGGGAGCGTTCAGCGAGATAGGGATAAAACGCTACAGAAGCAGCAAAGAGGAACAGCAGGGAACCGCAGGGAGAGGTCTGTGAAGCTCCCTGGGACAGTGTGGAGCCAAAAAGATCCACACAACTCGGAAGAACAACGAGAACGGAGCAGGACAAAGGTAGAGAAACCGACATCCCACTCCAGACCTGCAGAGTCACTTTTGAAAACGGCCTGACGGGAGACGCGGCCAGCTCGGAGGCAGGGAGATCGGGTGGATCGTCGCCGGCGGGAAGCCTTTGACAGCGGCGGAGGCAGACTGCAGCAGCCGGACGTTTGGTGAGGGGGGGGGGTTGACGTGGCAGCCTCCGCATTCCTCGCCCCCT